AGAAGTTACTCAGAGGGCATTGCAAGCTGACATCTCTTCATTCAAGGAAGGACATTCAAAAACCTGTTCCTACTATTCCTATCCAAATTGTTCTCTTTCTTGAATATGATCAAGATAAGCAACTCTCTAGAATAACGAATTACAGTGAGTGCTTCACATGGGGAGATTTCTTTCAAACAAACCAAATTAAGTCAACACTCAAAGAAAATCCTTTCATTACGATACCTTGTGTGGGAATAGCGACCTTGTCGAGCCATGTGAAGCATATATAGAAGTCTGCACATATAGTTCATGCCTTGTAGACTTTTCGGTCTCGAAATATTAGGGGGGAGTACTTAGGTCAATTTTGCTGGATATGTGCCGTTAGCCTCTCAGCACCCCTAACCATCATGGTACATTCTGTGGCCAATTACAGACCCAATCTTAATCACATTTGGTAATACAGTACCCACCCTATAACCGAGAATTTTAAATCCCTACTTACTAGAAGCAACACCAGCAGCACATCTACACTAGCCTATTACTATAAGGGAGTACCTCTCCCCTGTAAAGATACTCTCTGTTCCAGACGCGAAGCAGTCAAATTCTATCTGATCTGATCCGTAGATTCCTTAAAAAATAAAAGCAGACGTAAAACTCTGGGCAAAAAATGTGTTTCCGTCTGAACTCAGCAAGCTCACCTCTTTACTAAACCATCTTCTTATTGTCCTTAGCTTCACCACTTGTTATTCCGTGCAGCTCAGCCTTCTTTACCCAGGGGTTGCTGTGGTATCTTCCTTCCGGCTCAGAAAACAGTTACATTTTCGTAAGTGCTTTGTTTTTCTCCATGAAAAAAGCTAAAAAACTGACCTACTTAAAGTTTTGAACGTATAATTATGAATATCGAGACTTTGAAAATCTTATAATGAACGTGTTTAACGGGCTTTTCGTTCCGAAAAGATACTCCCGAAAGAGACGTTTATTTTTACAGGCTGCATCGAAAAAGGAATCTGATCTTCAGCTGGTTTGAGCTCCACGTTTCAAGTTGCATGGCAAAGGATCTGTGTTCCATTACCTGAGAAATTTTGGCAGAAGACATCAGTGTTAGGTGTTTGCTAAGACATACAGATCATGCAACATTTTATACCATCATGGTATCAGGTCTATGTTTAACAGAAAGCACACATCTCCGGTCTTAATTTGTTCTAGGTAAACCAAAACTGGCGTCATATTTACCATCTCCGCTGAGATTGTTGGCCGGAAAAGAGCCCGGCTTTTTTTTCTTATTTTTTTCAATATAAGAAAAAAATCCTATAACAACTGAAGGATCGTAGCCCCATGTCGAAGTATTTTCTCAATTGAGTTGATACCGTAAAGAATTTGAAAGCTAACGTTAATCCTTCGTCAGAGCGATAGACGAGGGGCTAACGCTCGAACTATGAACGTTAGCTTTTAAACTCTTTACGGTTGTTAAAAAAAAATTTAGGAAGATATGAGAAAAATGAAGTAGTTTAAAATTTCATTCGATCCTCTTAGAGTTTCTTCATAGCTACCTATGGCTAAAATTTCTTTCGCGTTGCGTAGTCTAAACTAATAAAACGCATAAACTTAAAACTGTATTATAATCATTTTTTAAATTCTTTCAGTATGAGATCATCGCATTTTATCAAGATTCTTCGAAAAGTTACGAGAACTTTTACATAAATTTTTGTCAGACGTCCAAATTAGGTGAACTGTACGCGTCTTTTCCCAAATAACGTAATAAATAGTACGTCAGTAACATGACAAAACGTGCGATTACTGAATAATTTAATGGTCTCCTGACACGCTCGCGTGATATTTCAAGTGCCTAAATGACGAAACGTGCAGACACTCATGCGTAAACTTAAGATAACAGTAGAGTGATTTTAATGAAATACTTCCCGTGTTGCACAATCGGACGTAATGCCGATCATATCATTCAGTCACGTGAAGAAACTTATATTTTTCAGCCGATTATGGCCAGCATGAGATTTTTAGAAAAAAATTGAACTCCTGCGTCCAAGTTAAGTTAAGTCCAAGTTCTTAAAATGGGCAACCTTTCCATTTAAAAGATTTGGAATAGAACTCAGAATAGAAGTCGGCCAGAAAGGGTATATATAACGAAGGGTATTATAACGAAGTTTCCAATGCTTATTCAGGGTTAGGGATTGTAATTAAGGGTCTCGAGGTGATGGCTTTTACGGTTAGCGGTTAAAATTTTGGGCAATTTACCGCTAACAGCTAATATCTTACCATTGTGGTCACAAGAACAATTTTTACGGTTAATTTTTTTTTACTATTAACGGTTAAAATTTGTCAATTTTTTCGCGTAAAGGCTAAATGTTAACCCAATTGTGATCTTCTAGTTTGAATCACGGGTGTTTGCGTGTGTTTGCGAGTGTATATTTTAGAACTCAGTGATGTTAATGTTTGCGGGGAAAAGAGCTGTGTAATTACCCCCTCCCAATCCCTAAACAAGCCTCCTTTCGATGTTATCAAAGGTCAAAATAATTCAATAATTTGGTTTATGTTTCCTGTAGGTTATCAAAATACAAGACAAAACCGCAACGAACTCTTTTTTTCTCGATCAAAAGGCCAGCTGTTGTCAAAATCTGTTCGGACACATATACGCCTTCATTTGTTTTATAATTCAGCTTTGTATTTTAACGGAACGGTGCGATTTAAGTTTTCAGATTTCTTAAATCAAGAGTCTTACTCGAGCAATCAGCCGATGTTCCTAAGTTGTAAATTAATTCTGGACTTAGGTTTTTCTTCGTTGGGGTGTGACCTATTAAAATGGTTAGGCTTTAAAAAAAAATGTTCTATAATCAGCAAGGTGCCTGCAACAGCTCATTACCGAAGAATCATAACAGTGGGCTTTTTCGATACGAATAGGCCTTGATTGCCAAAGGAATTGAAAGATTGAAAAAACCTAGGATTAAAAGTGACTATTTTCCTGTCTTTCCATCAAACTGGATTTATTTAGTCGGTCGGAAAAACTGACTTTTTCATTGTACACCCGCAACTTCAAAACCCGCTAGAACAAATGTCTTGAAAGAGTTGAACACCGACTGTGCGCTCTTAACTTCTTCATGGGTCATATCATATGAGAAGGTTCGCACTTTTCAAGATTAAAGCCTTGCCTCGTTTGATAACAGGTCATGATGTTCTGCAAATGAGAGATTCTGTGCTGTTTTTACAAGAAGAGTAAAAGATTTTTACGGAAAGTCGAAAATAAAAGGATTCACACGAGTCACAATACATCGGAAACATGTTTTGAGAATCGTTTTTTCCTGAATTGCTGCAGGGCAGCGAAAAAGTTGTGAGCTGTTTTTTTTTCCTTTTCCGTTCAGTAAATAACGCCTGGTCTCATATCTTATTTGTTTATGGAAACATTCGTTACATAATTTCAGAACTGGTATCTTCACTGAGCTGAGGAAACATTTTTTGGCGTAAAAACGTGCTATACAGATGCTATACTGATTTGAAACGAGTTCTCAGCACCTGGAGAATGAGCTTGCACGTGAAATGAAGATTTCGAAATTCACTTTACTTTGAATGTAACAGCCGTACATAATTCAATATTTTCCTGGCCAAAAATAACAACAATTCTTTTTTTGTTAGATGAGGACTTAGTATCGGTGAAGAGGCCTGTTTGGTAGGTTAGTAAGCAGGTTTGTCTGGATCCGTATATCAGATGTGATATAAGTTTTCTTTGAGAAGTGCTTATCACGCGTTTGCTCTCAACAAAATACTGTAAGCTGCCAGGGACGTTAACACAGCTTGTTTTTTTAAGCTCCTTGCTTTGCGTAATCTATCAGTTTCCGTCGCAAAAAGGAAACGAATGGAAGAAAGTTGGTTCTCGTTGAGTCATTTAAGTTTTTCTCCTCAGTGTTGCTGTCCGTGTGGGATCCCAAATGCTTTCCTTTGTGTACTAATGTTATGAGTGACCTTTAACCTTGCCATATTGAGTTTGCCAACGCAATATTTGTTTACAACGACGCATTTAGACTCGGCGAGATCATTAACTTGAAGTTTGGCCAGATACCAAAAACTGATAATTTAACACAATTCCCTGCCAAGATGCCTCTCCCGATCTTTGATTCTTACCCGGCATCAAAAACCGACACTTGACAGACGAGACATATTATAGATAATCAACTCCTGTCGAAACAAAGCAGGTTTGTCGATAAGAAGAAATGAAGAGCTAAGAAATCACAGAAACTGAAAATTTGACGACCACACTTGCGAAATATGAAGTCTCAAGCGGAAAACGAATGCTGGTGATGTCTGTTTGATGAGTCCTCAAATATTAGGTTATATAATCTATTACAACCTCCAAGACATTTAGAAGTATAGAAGCCTGCCTTTGTTCCTACAGCTCCTGTTCGTGACAGTTGGACAATTACTGTTGGTTCATGAGTATTGTTAAAAGATTTAAGGTTTTCGCGGGATCGTGGGAATATAATAAGGTTGCTATAACAACACTTGCAAGCCATCTCGGCTCTATCGAACGAAAGGAGAGCTTCACAATTATCCCCTTCTCGGTGTGCAAAGAAACTAGGATTCCAGATCTAAATATGTTCCCACTTCTTTCAGTAAAGGCTGAATAAAATTGTTGACTTCTTAGCTAAGTTTTAGCTGGCAGAGTTGACAGAAACAGGAGCCTGACAGAAATAGCCAGATTTTCACGCTTCGATTGGCGTTTTGTTAGTATCTTTTTATCTGTCGAACAACCTCGATCGTCTTTTCCGTTGATGAGTTCCAGCTACTGATTTCTTCGCGTCTGGAAAAAAAAGGAACGTTCTCATGTACTGATTTATTAGAAAACTGTTTAATTGTTCGATTTTGAGTGAGCAATCAATCAAACTATGCGTATTGCACCTTTTGTACAAGAACAGTTCAATTTCCTGAAATTGACTAATCACTATGACACAGAAGAGAAGGGCTCCGTCAAACAAAGTCTTATAGTTGATGAAAGTAATGCTCTCAAGGCCTTCTTTGCATCATTGCGTAAAATTTTATGGGTCATAAATTTGCCCTCAGGAAATCCTTGAAACACATGAGAGAAACCTATCAATTTAGATGTTGTCGCAGATGTCAAATCATTGCTGCAAACGGGCTTACACACTGTTCTTTCATGCGTAAGCTACATAACTGCACATTTATTTGAAACAGTAGGGGTTTGTGCATTATATCTCCTCCTTACTTGGAAAACAACAAGGATTTCAATTGGCGGCTCTGCGTGCAAAATTAGCAATAATCGCGGATGTGGAAAAAGGATTAGAGGTAAATTGACTCACTGGAGAATAAATTCGCGGAGCGGTCAGGCGACTGAAGCTTCCTTCAAGATCGCGTGATTTCGCTTGTTAGGGCGCACTGTCGCGAGCAAATTTGCGTGTTTTTCCAAAGGCACATTGTTCCACAATAAATTGACACGACGCTCGACCACCCACTTGTCTATCGCAAGAAATGAGAGTTGAGTTACAAAAAGATCTGCTTCGTAGTGAACGTGTGCCTGCTCTGGCAGATTTGCTACGATTTTTTTAATATGCCCACAAGGCGTTTAACATCTCAGAAGAAGCAATCAGGCGGGTAAATCGACGGCGAGATATTAAGGTTGTTGTTATCAAGATCGTAGTAGCCTGCGGCTGGAAAAAAGAAACTTCGACCCTCTGAACTCGGGGTTATCGCCAAAATCTCCATCCCGTTATCAACAAATGTCTTATCAAGCGGTCAGTGTTATGGGAAATTGAAAGAAACCATCGAGCCAATAAAACTTTAGCCAAAATCTTTTGAGCTGTGTAATCACAGTTTCGGGTTTCAAACGCAGACGGCCCTCCTATGTTTTTGTTAAGAAACAATGCGACTTCCGGTGCGCTGAGCTGTCAGTAACAAAGCTGAGTGTCACTTATTGTAAACCTGAGACGAGTGGCGTCTTCTCTCACAGGGGGAGGGAGTATTGAATACTCGTGGGTAAAGAAGTGATCTCTGGAGATGCAAAAACGAAAAATAACCAACAAAGAAGGAAACATTGACAACGGAAGATGTTGGAGACGGATTTAAAAGGCTGAATTTCTGATAAATCAGCAAGAATGGAGAAAGCAAGACAAAGAATGTGATAGCCGTTAGCACACCATCACCCCCCCCAGAATTTCAGTGCTACGTGATGTCCCAGTCAGCAGAAACAGGGATGGAAGAAGTACACGGAAACCCCACATAACACGAAACTATCCGTCACCATTACCGCACAGACTGGCCAAATTTCCGTCCCTTTTCTCTCTTCTGTCCCAAACTTTGCCACATTGCAAAACAGACTTACACAAACATACAGCTCGATATTTATCACACAGCTGCATATCAAGTAAGTCTTGTTTACATGTAATTGTCATTGTATCGTGTATTTTGGTCCCCGCGGAGTATTCACGTTTCAAAGGTCTCTCGAAGCTTTTGCCGGCATTTTCAGCTGCGTACCGTGCGCGTGACCACAGTATTTCTATTCCGTCATAAACTCATTTCTGGAAAGCCCCAGAAAACTCGATGATTTTGCACCATAGAGAAAACCCACGCTTTAAATCTCGCTTCCTAACGACAACTGTTACGTAGCTCGCAAAAATAGAATTCCACAATGGCGCCTTTCATCAATGAACTATTGTTTGTCCAAATACGCCAACTGATTGGTTTGTTCATACAGTTGGTATGACGACCAAATCTCGGGGCTAATCATTACGTCACGTCCCACCCGAAAACCAGGCCCCCCGCGATGAGTGGAAATAATAGCCCGTAATATATGTGTATATATTTCACGATACTGACCTTAGAGAGCTTCATAACAGTTCTGAGTTGTTACGGCGCTAGCCCATCACTATTTGATGTGTCAAAGGCATTCTGTACTGAGCACACCACGTTAGGCAATCAACAACACTGGCAATGGAAAGAAAGAACAATAATTGTGTGGTGCACGTGAGGCAAGATTCTGATAACGACCTAGAGGCACTTTTCCATGTCATCAGCAAGAACTCAGTGGCGAAGACGCATCCTGAGCCAGCATCGTCACAATCATTACCAATGCGATTAAGAAAGCTTCCTCCGTCGTTTTTTAAGCAACCTCCAATCGACGGTAGCTTATCACCCGATCAGGACGTCCCAAAAAGGCTTCCAATCTCTCATTCGCACTCGCGTTCATCGCCAGCGTCGCTCACAGTTCCTACGACTCTGAAAGGCCCGCCAAACCACTCCTTGAGTCCTGGCGTCCACCATCAAAGATCAACCTCTTTCGATAACACAGCGTTGCTTGAGGAGCCTACTCCTATGCCGCCTGGGTGGGAAATGAGAACGACGGCGAGTGGCCAAAGATACTTTATGAAGTAAGACGAAAATGTGTTAGCATCCCTTAATGCCAGTGGTTTAATGAATTGTAAATGTCTTAACACAACTTCAGTTAAATTACGACATTTAAATATTAAAACGCACGCACGCCACACAAAGTCAAGAATAGTAAATTCCGTACAATAATTTTACTACGCTGGAAGTGTTAACGGTCTCATGAAGACATAATGAATTCTAGCATAAAATTTCATTGAATTCGGGTTTTTATTGTGTTTCTTAAAACCATTAACTAAACCTGTTTCCTTATATATGTACGTGTCTTTGGTGCTCAATATGGCGGGTAGCCAAAATCGGATGTAACACAGTAAATACGCTGTTTCAACTATAGTGAAACTAATCACGCTTTTGTTCTCTCTCGCAGTCACTTCGAACAGCTAACAACATGGCAAGACCCAAGAAAAACACAGTCAACTTCAAATCTGAACAGCGTACAGCCTGTCGGCAATTTGCCCGATGGATGGGAACAGGCGATAACACCAGAAGGTGATATTTACTATATCAACCACATCGAAAGGACAACCAGCTGGATCGACCCGCGACTCGCGATGCACTGTAGAAATCAGGAGAATATACGCGGTTCGACCTTGCCTCCGGATTTTAATCGCCAAGGCCATCGAACCCTTCAGCTTCATCGTCTCCAGAGAGAGCGTGAGCAACTTTTGAAACGGCAGCAGGAACTCTTGAAGCAGGAGATCAAATTGAAACGTGATATTCTAGAGGAAGGTGGGAAACCGTCGCTGCTCGGAAACTTGACGCGAGAATTTAGCGCGCAAGATCCCCCTGTAACGAACGGAGGACATATCAGAGACGAATCATTTGATTCTGGGCTCGGAATGGGAGGTGGTAATTACCAGTTCCACGACGTCGATATGAACGATTCGCAACCGATGTTTGACGCGAATTACAACTCGAAGGACACTTCTTTTCGCGCCGATCCTAGGATACCCGAGATCCTCGATAGCTTGCCTGGCACTAATGTCGACTTAGGTGTGATGGAAGGAACAGATAATTCCACCAACATGGAAACTGAAGATCTTGGGGTTGGACTGGAGTTCAATTCGGAGATCTTAAACGATATGGAATCCGTGCTAATATCGCCGACCTTGACTTGGCTTTGAGCTTGTTAAGATTTCACTAAAGCGCAACGTAATAGTTTTTATAGAAAGGATTTTTCAATGACATTAGAATATTCTCAACGGAGTGAAAAGTAAGTACAAGGCGCTCGTTAGCGATCAAACCACTTCCCTTTTTTACATCTTCATACGCGTAAATATTAAGATTAAGATTGTAACTTACTTCTATAAGAGAACTTGTTTCGCAACGAAACTACAAAGTTCGGCTTTAGAGTCGAAATAGGAAGGCTTTATCGTATTGTTCTAGAGGAAAACACAATTGAAAGTCGGTATAATTTTTTGCGGTGAGAGTATAATAGTTTTTTGATTTAATTGCTTGTAAATAAGAGTTAGAGATTAATACGGGTTTTCATAATAGCGTCAAAAAATGTTTGCGTCTCCGCAAAATTGCTTTTTTCAGCTTTCAATAGTTAGCTGTCGTTACTCATTTGGCGTTTTGATTTTGCGTCGTATCCGAGTATCGTGTGAAAAAATTGGATACGTTTCCAACTCCACCCACGAGATCGACTTTTGTTCTTAGAGAATGACAAAACATCAAACCTGTATAATCGTGAGCGAGACTTGAACTCTATCATTTTATCCGCATAAAAATCAGCACTTGGTAGGCATTAGGCACGCTAGGTGTAATCTTAGCTAGTCTCTCCACAACTCAGGCGAGATTCAAGATCGGTTTACACATCAATGCTGGCTTTCTGTGTTTGGCAAAATTGTTATGGTTCATTAAGCAGCATACGGCATAATTTTGGTAATTAGGGTAGCTTTCTTGACTCTGTATCCAAAAACTTGATTATTTTTGCTACGAAAGGATCTAATTTTTTAGATACAGTATTTAATGCGGGTTCATTGCATAGCTTTATACGGCTTTCCACGCGCGTTTGTGAAATTGTTTGTATTTTTTTTTTAGTACAACGCAAAAGACCTTAGATTGATAAGCGTAGCAACACATTTTGACTTCACTTTAGTGTAAATATCAGTTTTCATTTTGATAGTTAAGCTATATTTTAGATATATATATATATATATATATAAAAAACAAACCGAAAGGGGAATTCATGTCTAAGGAATAACACTCCGTTTCGATACGCGAGAAGAGCGGTAAATTGCTCAGGAAGGGGCCATACGAAGTGTAGATCAGAAAGACTTCTATAAAAGTGTTTTTGTTTGCATTTCCTTCTTGGTGTTAAGCCACACACACACTCTCCGTCTGTGGTGAGCAAATTTGAAGATTAAAATTGAGCGGCGCGATGGCAAGAATGTTTACTT